TCACATGATATTTGCGTCGCATATTCTTGACTCTCCGTGATTACGATTTATATCACGAATCAAAATACACACATTCCGTGCAATTTTATTTAATCCTCTAACCGACATGCAATGAAATAACGTGACTGCATGTTATTCTACACGAAATCTACATGAAACCATGTAATTCTATTAAATAACGCATGAAAATAATCTTTTATAAAGTCGGTAAAAAAAATCATTTGTATGTCACATTAATACCCTTCTGATCTTATCAAAAAGTTTATTGATTAATGAGTCTCCTGAATTTTTTATCAGAAAACATTTTGGACTTTGAAATATACTATACAATTTATGTAACATATGCACAACGGTTCAAAAATTTCTACACGATCAAAAATAAAAAAAAAAAAAAAGTTGGATGCGAATAAATGTAAAATAAATTTGACGCAATATGTAAAAACGTTGTGTAATTTATCGTGCTCGCCGAACAACAGCGCTTCAATGAATGATTTAGAATTGCGGGCAATTTTAAAAAAGAGAAAAAAAAACATACATTTTGACACTCGTAGCGCAATATATTGGTGTAGTATAGTTCAAAATTAATCTCATGATAAGAAAACATTTCATCTCGCGATATATCGGAACCGTATCTGTTAGTTATTATCCAAAACAGATTTGACACTGCCGCGAACTTGCCGAGAGATTACAAAACGAAATCTTTACTATACAAAGTCCGGGTTACCGCGTTGCACAAGAAACGACGAATCGTCAAGCATGTATACGCATGTATATGCGCTACACAATTAATTTGAAAAATTAATAATGGAGTTATATACTAGGGTGTGTGCGTTATATATATGTAATATATATATATGTATATATATATATATAAAATGCCGCTTCTTACCGCCCTCCTGCGTGCACCGCACCGCGCCACAAGTAAATCACGAAGGCGAGGTCCAACGTCCGGTCAGAGAGAGAGTAGAATGCCCTCGCGATAATAATTATTCTCCAAACGCAAGACTGGCAATTAGCATCTCATTGGCTTATTTCTCGCTTATGCTAATGGGAATATTATTTAAGCGCGTGCACGAGAAGGGTTGACCATCCTTTTCTTCCTCCCCCACTTCTTACTCTCGGTATCTCTCTTCGCTGCACAATCGGCTTCCTCTTGCACCCATACAATCTCACATATACAGTTTAGTGGCCCATCGCGTCGCGTCGCGTCGCGTCGCGTCGCGTCGCGTCGCTTCGCATTGCTCGCTTTACCGCTTTCCGTTGCGCGAAACATGACGTCTCGCCGCGTCTTTCTTTCCCCTGTTCCGTTTACGACGCGTACTAAGGAGTAAGAAGCCGGGACACCACGCCGTTCTGTCCGCCCACGTGGTGTCTCCTCGTGCGGCTTCCCCGTTTAGCACCATCAGGAAATTCCCCACGATTTACTGGAACGTGGACGGCAGAGCCGTCTGAGAGCGTACGTATCGCTCCCTCGAACATCTGAAACCGCTCCAAGAGACCCTCGTGCATTTATTTTGGAAATCATTTTTTTCAATGAGTATTCTGTCACATTTTAGTCTATCCACGTTGTTGTAGCACGACAAATAAAAAAAAATTTTTTTTCTTTTAAATTAAAGAAATCCCTTCATAAAAGTATCCGAGAAACCGAGAAATATCTTTGTTGTTTCTCTTAAAACATTTGATTAACCATCGTTAATAGTTATTTTTAGAGTTATTTTTATGCCCGTTGGTACATATGTATCTGTTTTAATATAATCGATGGTAGACGATCCAAGTGAGGTTTTGTTCTCGACTTTCTCTATCCGCATTGATTTTGTACAGCATAGTGATGACAATTGCGCCGAATTTGCTGCACTCGGAGTACTTTCATGCTCACTCAGCCGTGTATAATGGAAATACTAGAGAAGAGAACCGACAGAACTACCTCTTTACCACGCTACTGACCACTAACAACCAGCGAAGAAAACGGTAGAGTCTCACCACACTCGGCTCGGAAAGCAATCTCACTCGGCGACTTTTCCGTTCTGCGAAATTATCGGCAAAAAGGTTCATTCGATTGGCACAGGAGGGAGATCTTTGTCTCGGAGATAGAGAACGCGGTAGAAGAAAGATGACCGGAGGATGAGGAGAAGAAAAGAACTCCGGAGTTCAAGAGAATCGAGGAGGAAGAGAACGGAAGGTCGAAAGGACGGAAGGCGGCGGAAGGAAGAGAGAAAGAAGGTGAAGTGGAGACGAGGCAAAAAGCGCGAACGTTACGTGCCTCTTCTTTACGATAGAAGCTCATTGCTCGTAGATTGCGATTTGCCACGGACGTAATGAAGCCACGCCACCTTCCGCCGGCCTTCCTACGGTAACCGGTAAACAACAACGCGCACGGTGACTATACCGCATCGACGTGGCAATATATATATATATATACATATATATCTACACCGGCCTCGAGGAGATGTTCCTCCAGCGATCCATCGCGACAGGTTGGTAGACGATTCGACAATTTTTATCTGCCAAACCCATTAAACTTCCTCGATTTACTACTAGTAACACCTGCCAGGGCCAGCTTTTTGCAAATGCGCGTTGAGTGAGAGATAGCCAAGAGCAATGCACGCATAATAAGAAAGACAACGCAAACGTCGATAGACTTTCAACCTCGTGGCACAAAAATCAAGACATAAATCAATGATGAAACTTATTTTTAGGTGATTAATATTTACATCAAGAGAGAGAGAGAGAGAGAGAGAGAGAGAGAGAGAGAGAGAAAAGGAAAAGAAAAAGGTTACAGCAATAAATTAAAAAAAATTTCCAAAATACTATTAAGACTTTACATAACAATTGTATTAATTTTTAGATATTTTAGACTTTTCTCTTTTCTCAACTTGCATTAGTATTACAAGTAAATAAATAAAACATTTTAACATTATCCAGGTTCCTACACATCTATGCTAATATTTTTAAATAAGGTCAGTCGACAGTTGTGACAGTGACAGCCGTAAACGCAAGGTGCTGCCTTGCTCGAATATTTGTGACTCGATACGGTCGTGACAAGCCAGGTAACGGACGTGACGTTTCGAAAAATTGTGGGCAACAGTGCGAGGACACGCTCAACAAAATGCATTTCTCGTTACCATTCTATCTTTCTCTCTTTCATGTAAAAAATCAAAACAAGAGCGTAACAACAATTCGGCATTAGTTCAACATGTGATTTTGAGAAATATAGTACTCGTATATGTTTAAATAAAAACTGTCTATGGAGAAAAAAAGCCGAAAATATTTTCGCAAAAATAATGACGATAAAAAGTACGATCTCCACATATAACCCCAATAAAAATATATATTTTTCGAATATATTCTTGTTAAACGTAACTAATTGATTCTGAAAGACAGAACATGAGATAAATTTAATTCTATACACATATTAATTTAAATATAAATGATAGATACAATTTTTTCCCCCCTGAAGTTACAATTTATTATTAAATCTTTCTTCTCGTACATACTGTATACAATTCTATGACATTATTTAAACATTTTCCAACAAATATTTCATCAAATTCTTGTTAACTTTTCGTAATCCAATTTTGAATATGATTTAAATATTGTCGTATTTAAAATTTATTTTTTAAATATATTAAATTATATTCAATACATTTATGTATTTAGGTATACTTACGTCTAAACGCATTAAGACATTATTTTTAAGATAAAAAAAATATCGAAAACTTTTGCATATGTGAATAGATTCCAGAAAAAAACAGTGACGTTAGATTTTATCGAAATCACTTTTAGATAATTTCAAATTCTTTGTGGAAAATCTTGTGCAAAACACAATAAAGGCAAGAGATGGCAATGACTCCTCGAGGAATCCATAATGGCGGATCGGTCCTAAGTCTCCCTGACCATCGCTGCAAAGCCGCGTTCCTGCCCGATGAGAAAATACACGCTCCAAGTTATTTAAAAAACCCATTTCACTCCGTTATCTCGATCAGACAACATGAAGGGTCGCCTAAAATATTTTTTCCTCTATGTTCCGCCAAAGTTCCGAATAAAATAGTCACTCGCTCGTCAATGGAAACAATACTATACAACATAATTAGATCTTTAATTATTGCGTCATAAATTAAGACTAAAAATAACCTTTCGCCACAGTACTGTATCTATCCAGTAGAACCATAATGTAGCCATTTATTTAGTAAATAATGAAACTGTACATTTATTTCTTTTTTTTTTTTTTATTCAATCTGTTAATAAAGCAAAAATCTGGGATAATTGCAGATAGTTTCAACTATATTTAGGAAATGACAAAAGAATAGCATATGGCGGTTTGTTCTGGAAAGTTGGACGCACTGTTTTATCGTCCAGATATCATATAATAAATGTATCCGCCCTCGTGAAACTCCGAATTCGTGTTCCGACCGGAATAACGACGGATGGAAGCGCGCAACGATAACGCTCCGTTAATTATTCTACTCGTTGGGAGAAAAAAAAAAGTGTGGAACTCTGGCGTTGACTCGCGCGTCGTAACCTTACTTCCTGACTCGTTATTTCGTTGTTCAAGTCGGCCGACCGTATTTGAGTATCTCGACGGGCGATCGCTCGATGAAATTGAGCGATTAGACGTGCACCGGAGTCGTCAGGGAAAACGAAACGTGACTACGAGATTTCTCGCTATTTACACACCGTTAAATCGCATAACGCGGTTTTGCGGTCCAGTTCGTTCTCGAAGCATCCTCTTCTTTAATTATATGTATACACCTATAATTAATCGTCGATATTTCATCCAAACGAACGAGTCAGTCGTGTTTCGCGATTCTTGTTTAAATTCTCGCGTTTAAATTTGCACGAATTTTGCAATGATCTTCGTGACGGGAAAATGAGTGATTAGAAATGCCTGATGCACCGAGCATCGGATAACATTATACGTTATAGATGAGCGACGATGACATTGAGAGACGCAATGGATATGTCGCTTACACATGCAGACGAATAAATAAGGAAATACTCACCAGCGAGTCTACCTCCGGATCCGCAATGTAATACGGCTTCTCTTGTCTTATCTGTAACACATGTAAGTGCGTTAATAATTAGATCCAGCGTAATTGCGGTATTAAAGCTATACGGACGATCGTATCATCACATACATATACGCACACATAAGCACATAAGCACAACCAAACCCCGCGCCCCATACCGTCTTTCATCCTCATCTTCCCACTTCTTTTTTTTTTAAGCGATTTCCTTCGCGTGCTTCCTCTTAATTGGACCCCTACTGTTCAATTCGTACGTACAGAAACGGAAACGCGTCGGGGAACGCGATGGAATCCCGGCGGCAAATCGAAAAGGCAGACAGCAATAGAGGAAGTGAAGAAGCGGTGAGATTCTCGAGCATTTTCATGGCGCCGTACGTAATGTCCCAGTGAGAATGAAAACAAAACTTTCATATTTGGCATTTGAATTATTTATTTTACGTTATTTAAAGGAAGGCAAAAGGACGACTAATCTCTTTTCAGCATCAAGATCAAAATATTAATGTTCGAGCCGATAATATGAGGTTAGAGATCTTATCGTTGTCTCTTTTTCTCTTCTCTCTCTCTCTCTCTCTCTCTCGTTGTGAGATCATTTACGTTTACCGCTGAAAAAGCATAAGCTCTCTATACAAATAAATTGTCAAAATAAATTAATCAGAAAAGACAGATAGATATTTCTTTATTTTGTTTCTCCTCGTGTTCTATATTTTACTTTACAAAAAATTAACGAAGATTCTTGAAGTTATTATAACATCGTTTGTTACCCGAGATTGAATACATTAACAGACCCAAAGGGACTTCTCAGACGGATTGAATGACTTCTCTCTTGCGGTGTCGAAAGTGTCGGAAGAGTCGAGAAATGTGAGATTTAGTTGCTTCTCTATGAAAGAAAAAACTTGGGATAATGAAATATTGTCCGCACGCACGAATTCCCAGTCAAGAGCGCGTATTCATGAGCTAGAATTCTGAATGAATTCTCGAGCTCTCCTGTTCCAATGTATAGATAATAAAGGCGTTTCATACGACAAAAATACTGTCAATTGTAAGTAAAGGAGATAGGAAGGAGGACAGTTCTTACATGGCCCTGTCATCGCGCTTTTTCGAGCAGTCTCCGAGCAGCGAGGTAGCGCCATGCAGGTAGGCAAGATTACAAATTATAAATAGCCTGTTCCGTCTTCTGCGTATCCCTACTTTCTCTTACTTTTAATTCTTTATACACAATTTTTCCTCAAGCGATAGTTGTTTATACACTAACACGTAGAACTGATGCATCTATAAAAAAAGTTGGCAACAATTGGAGAAATAAAAAGACACACAATGTTTTTTCTCTAAAGTAAATGAGAAATGGGAAAATGACGAAATTAGTCAGCGTTTAATTCTACAATAGTTGCACAACTTATTCCATCTCTAGCCTGCATCGTTTGTATAACAATAAAAGAAATAACATCTTATTGAAACAGTGACGTAATATAGATTTCCGTAAAAGGAAAAAGCGCGGTATCATCGTACGATGATGGCGGAGGAAATCGTTCTCGTACGAGAATGTTCGATGAGAAAACAAACATCGATAGATGCGTATAGGAACGTCAGCTTTTGCTGGCTGTCAGGCGCATAACTCAACGCGCGGCGGAGGCGGTAAAAATATTGTGCGATAATATTTAGAGAATGCTCTCGTTCCGGCACGCGGGGTGTAAATACACATGTGTATTGCGTACGTGGTGTGCGCCGATCCTGCCGAGAGATATACGAAGCAGCTGCTTTGGAGGCTGCTGCTGTTTGCTGCTCTCTTGCCTCTACTATTGCTGCCGCCCCCTCGAACCCTTTGTAAAACTCTTCCCTAATTCTAAGCGGTTGGAGAATTCTAAGTAGATTGGAATGCGTGTGACACGAGCGAAAAATTTTTCCAATTTCTTTTCGTTTTTATTTCTCAATATTAAATACTCTAAATGGTATTGTACAACGTTAATAAGCTTAAAAAAAATATGCTTTTCACTTAACACAGTTGCGTTCATAATTGCGAAAAATTTTATGCAAATAAAAATGAACAGAAATAATAAAGAGAAATAAATTTCAATATTCTATTCAGCAATTTTCATTATTTTAATTTTCTCTCGTACATCTTGCGATAATAATGTAATTTTTAATTATTAGAAAAATAACAACGTTATGTCAAATATATTACATTTGACCTGTACATGTTTCCTGGAGTCAAAAAAAAACCTTCACTTTTTCTAATTTTCTCTCTCTCTCTCAAATAATGAAATCCAATTTAACATGAATCTTCTAACAAAAGAATAAAATAGAAGAATAAGATTTCTTCCGGGATATTATATAGAAAAAAAAATAGGATTATAACAAAAGACTTTCTTGGATTTTCTTGGACTAGTTGATTTCTCTTATATCCGTTACAATCGTTAAAGTAAATATGTCTGCAAGTTCTTCACGCATCGTTAATTCGTGTGTAGCAGATTAGAGAGAATGTAACAAAAATGGACTTTTCACAGAAATCGGCAAACATCAGAAAGGATGTTCTACACAATAGCACAAATGGTTCTAAGCTTTGGAATGACTCTAAGCAAATTCAAGAAAATTTGCAGACGTAAATTTTCCTTTACTCGCTTTGATAAATCTACAATGAATATGTTACAATCCCTTCAAAAGTAGAGATATGCGTGAGAGAGAAAATTAATTAAATTAAAAACTATCGTTTCTATTCAATCTACGTACAATGTTAAAGTCCGCTTTCAAAATATTCTTTTCAGTGTAAGCAATTAACATGATTGTGTAAACTATCCAAAGTACTGAATACAATTCGACATTTAAATTAGTGAGAATTAATGAATGATTCTAAGTGATACGAATGACTGCACGGCACGTGTTTTTGTAAACGACATGACACGAGCGAGCGTCGAGTCGCGAGGAGGAGAACCGGCAGAGCGCGTGATACCGCGTGATCGCTATTGCGTGGTAGCAACACGTCAAAACGGGGAGATATTTACGCTAGAACGCGATAATTGCGAAATTGTAGCACGGCAAGACCGCTGGCGATAGTCGTGCGGCTCGTAACAACAGGATTAAACGTGTATACACGCCTGGTGTTGAAACAATTAAAACGAGAAAATCTGAAACGCGTCGGAAATGCACAAATCGATATAGTTCTAGAAAGCTAAACTTACAATGGATCGAAGTGATCCTGAAATATGTTTTGTTTCGCAAATATTCGCACCGACGCGACGCGACGCGACGTTTAAATCTTAATGATCACATTAATCAAGAACTTTTAATTACATACAACATCAGGTGTGGAATTTTTATATTGCACGTAAAAATATAACAAAAGTACCGTGTATGACTTTTCTCTCTCTCTCTCTCAACTGCTGAAAATTTCATGATAAAATAACAAATTTGAATTAAATATCTTTAATTTAGAATTTTATTAAATACACCGTTTTAGTTACATTTTAATATTCGATTAATTTCTAATTAAGATTTGATGATCACTGTAAATATAGTCTAATTCACCGCGAGCATTGCGATAACATCGGATAATGGAAAACCGGTTCGAATATAACCTACCTACACTAACGAGTTTTACGTGGGTTTCGTTTAGTTAATTGACCTCGAATCTTAAAATCGAGGCATCTCGATAGCGCAGTATTTCTCGTAACGGCTTATTAATTCTTTCTTTAGATCACATTATAACGTATTATCAATGATTTTCACATAAAGATTTCTTAATGTAAAAACAATTTGATGAATATAGCATTTTAATACATGGGGTCCTTGAATCATGAAACTGAACAGAAGGAAGTCAATAAATGTCACAGAAGAATGAGAACTGACAGCTTTGAATAGAATGCATTCATCTAGTAATCATCATCAATGCAGGAACAGCATTTTATGAGGGTTTAATGTTACTAGAGATAGGTGCATTCTAATTATACCAATAAATCGCTACAGGATCTTTCTTCTCCGGTTCTCTCGCTCACCTCTTTCTTTCCCTGTATTTGTGAGCACGACACGGAATCGAGATATCATGATGAGTGTCCGCACGCCTACGTCTCCATATTCAGTACTTTGGCAGTTTCGATTCATTGTTCAAAACACAATTAAGTATACAAAAGAGAGAAATATCTCACCCATGGCTAATAATAGCAATACGTCATGCCTTACCGATGGGCATATATAAATTATTAAAAATTATTTAGAATACCTATAAATAAATAACTTTCTTAAGCTCGTACACATAATGCTTGACTGTCTCTCGTGTTTCTATCGTTGAACGGTAGAAAAATAATATTATTAGATTTATATAACATGGTTAATCATAGATTTCCTTATGCAACAAAATTCTTTTAAAGTCAAGTCTTTATAAGTGGATAAGTATGGATCAAGGGCTTTTATTCATAGTCGAGCGAACATCGCGACGCTCATTTAACCGGCCAGATTCACGTAAAGGTCGGATGCACGGCTGTGAGGCGGCGAAGCGCAAGTAAATTTTTCGCCGGCGATGATCGCGAGAAAAAAAACGAGATGCCTCTTTTGACGGATGAAAAAAAGGTGCAACAAAGGCACAGCGTAACGTAGCGCAGCGGGGGTACACCCGATGGCACGTTGCAGCCAGGCAACGATGTTGAAGGTAACGAGCGTGCACGCGCGCGCGTACCAAGAAGGAGAAAGAGGACGAAAAGTTCATGGCGAGAGAGAGAGAGAGAGAGAGAGAGAGAACGAATATAGAAGGGCAGAAGAGGGCATGGAAGACTGGAACATCGCGGTGTGCCCCCATAGGGCACACGATGCGTGGACCGCAGGGAGGGGGGGAGGGGGGGATAATAGTGGACCCATTGAATAGATCAATTTACAATGGCAGAAAATGAGCAGTTCCCCACTCCCATCTTGCATCGTATGCCCCTCTCGATGCCTCTCCGGTCCCCCTCCTGCCATCGCCGCGCCGGCTCGACTCTCCACACTTCGGTGCTTCTCACGACTCCGACCAACTCCGACGACCGCCGTGGTCGGGCCCCAACTGAAAATCGCGCATGCGCCATGCCCCACGGCAGCCATGGCGCATGCGTGCGTGCACGCACGCATGCACGCACGCACGCACGCATGGTACGCACGCAACGAAACGCAAAATAATCCCGCGCACAGCATGCGGCCCTTTTGTCGTACGGCCCTATCGCCGCGACGCGGCGGTACTGATACAAGGGGGTGAGAAGGGGACATCGAGGGATGCGAGGGCATGGCTCACACGGCACGCCTCAGAAACCGCCGCAAGAGGATTGTCACCTGCTTATCTGCCGACGTGCATCGCGTGTTTTGTGTGTGTGTGTGTGTGTGTGTGTGTGTGTGTGTGTGTGTGTGTGTGTGTGGTGTGTGCGTGAAATCTACGCGCCTAGTGACGGCCTTCAAAGGCAACGCTCGCTGAATATTGATGCTTACAAAGTGTTGATTTGAGATGTAAGATACATTAGAGATGCACTTTCGCGTAAAAGAAAACAGATATTCCTAGAGACGATTGCATGGAACGCGCAAGAAAGAAAAATGGGATACGTTGATTTCAATTCAGTTAAAGTAGTTTCAAATTAATTTAATGCAAAGCGAATTATAAATTATTAAAATAATTATCGATAAAATATAGTAAACTAAATTTTAGTTAAATGATAAATTAAATATTAAATTAAAAATAGTCTTCGAATTTTCAAATGACAAATGCTAAAAATTAATGTATCACACACATTGAAACAAGAAGAATATCTGATTGACGTAATAAAAGTGACAATAATCAGTTGACAATTATATATAAACTAATTATAAATAAATGTTTTATTTAGCATAATATTATATGCACTCTAAATACTGTATAAAATTTTAATTATGATAAAATGTAACATAATTTTCTTTATAATAGTTTCATCACTTTCATTTATTATTAATTATATCCATTTCCTTTTCCACGTGCACTGTATTATTATTAATTTATCGTTATTAAAAAATCAGGATATATTGTACATATATATATATATATAGAGAGAGAGAGAGAGAAGAAAAGACTACATGACTGCCAATTTCTTTGATATTCTACGAGTTTAATTACGAAACTAAGTTTGACGCCAAGAGAGAAAAAGAAAAATATTCGAGTAAAAAACGGGATCATATTGAGGCGATATACACGCACGGCATCGTCGCGGAATAAAACCATTCCGTAGTCATAAGCATTATTTTTCGCGCGTTTTGAAACGCACCTCATGGTGCGCCTTATTAAGATGCAAATATCATGTCAGTTTCGCAATGCCGCCGGGTATCTTCGACGATATACACCAGTGTGTAATAACGTCGACGCTAGTTCGTAGATAAATAATATAGAAACGCGCGAGATTCGCGATTATCATCATGTTCCGCTTTCTCTATATGAGGAAAAAGAGCTGAAGAAAAAGATACACGTTCGATTATCTCGAAAATCTCGATACGCCGGAAATTTGGAGCGTTCTTATCGTCTGGTGCTTTTCGGCATCAACAAGACAAAATAATGTATACATACGGGTCGCCACTTTATCCTACCTCGCGCCGAGGCTTAACTCTTATCGTTATCTCAGCATAGCGTTGCTCAAAGCCACTGCTACCGTATTACCGACACCCTATATTTAGATGTAAGACTTGATGAAGTTCTTTTTCTTCCAGCGATAATAACGCGAAAGTGAGCGAAATCGAAAGTGAACGTAAATCATTCGCAAAATTCTTATGATCGTATATCTATTGTGCAACGATACTGTTAAAACATATTATCTATTACTTTGGTCAAGAATTTGAATTAATGATGCATCGTGCATAATATAAAATCCTACGGTATCGGTTCGGTCGCATAATGCCACATGAAAATAACTGGAGGTTACAGCTATCTAACGGTGCAACGTAAATGGGTCCGATACTCTTCAATCTAAATGTGCTGAATTCGTTTGCATCGCTTCACCATAAGCAAACGAACATGATAACATTTTTATTGCCCGTTCTGTCGCTTCAACTTAATATGTCGTCGTGAATGCTATATTTCTAGAAAATTACGTAAAAAAAAAAAAAAAGAAAAAAAGAAAAGAAAAAAGCAGGCAAAAGTGAGTTTTCTTCGTAATATAAATTTTACTTCATTCGAAATATCATTTTTGATTTATTTCCAACTCTAATCACATTTCTCGTGAAAGAAAAAAAAATTTATTATTCCCAGCGTAAACCGAGAGATTACGGATAATACATATCGTATAGTTGAATATATCAACGCTTAGTTACATAAGTCATTAATTAGTTCAATATCTTTGAAGTAGAGCACTTTGAAGCACTCGAATAACAGGAAGAAAACGTGACACTTTCAAACATGAAATATTCATTCTTTTACTTTCCTACTATCGAACAGCATTAGTCGTTCTAACCCATGTATATCACGTTATCGATGCAAATGTGTCTGTGGCGAGCAAATTATCTAGAGAAAACACGCGGAAACTCGCATTGGACTGGTATACTTTCCGATTTCCGAGACCTTCGAATAGACCTACGTGCGCGATCTGGCACGCAGACGCAGAGGCAAAATGGTATGTTTTAAAAGGTCCAAATCGTTTCACGGCATGCGGCCCCATGGGCTCTCGAGTTACCTACGCGTGTCCTTGGGGGGACCTGCCTCAGGTGAGCCGCTAGAGGGAAAGAAAAAATAGGAAGACTGAAGCGAGCGAGCGAGCGGGCGAGTCTTCTGCTTCGTAGCTAGAAGCAGAGGTCCGTATACCCAGGCCCCAGGTCTTTCAACGGTAATCCTAAAAATAAGTCCCACGGATAGGCAGGGTTCTTCTTCTTCTTCCAGGCTTAAGACACGCTAGCGAGTCTCATGCGTGGATCTACTGTTTTTCGGGACGGAGACGAAACGCGCGTCCTCGTGACTGGCCTCCTCGGGCCAAGGCCCGAAAATCCCTCCGGGACATTCTCTCACGGAAGAATCGTGCGACAAAGTTCGCCGAACAAAATTGCTAGATTTTCGCAAAGATTTCGTCCAAGGATCTTTTAAAACATACCAAGGGATAATTTTTAAGAGCAGCTCACAATTATAACTGTTATGACTATATTTAAAAAGTCCTTTTATTTTTAAGTCACTCTCGAGTGAGTCAGTCTGCAGGTAAAAAATATCATGTCGATCATATACGATCATTTATTAATTGTAAATTTGTGCCCATGTAAATTTGATTTCCAAGAAAAACTATTTTCCATTATACTCTATATTCTATTGACAAATTCATAAATCTGATTGTGATAATATTACAACAGCGTTGTATACTCACGTTGAATAAAAAAGGGTTCGCCGATGCGATATCACATACATAGCCCATACATATAATCTTTCTTTATATATTATATTTAATATTCTGTAAACTTACTTGTTTTGAGAAAACGGCAATGTCCTCGTTGAAGCTTTCTGACGAACAAACATCACCACCGGCCACACCAGGCTCGCGCGGTGTACACGTTGCCAACTCGCACTTTTCGAATATGAGTGCGAGAAGCGGGAACAGGGGGTGTCTGAAAGAAGAAGTGAGAGAATACGCTTAAAGATAACGGGAATAAGTTCAAGATGTGAGTGAGTGCGCGAAGAGTGCGGCAGATACGCGCGCATTATACTAACGGAGCGTACATCGCAAAGCAGCGCCGATCTCGGTAAGCATGCTAATTAACGCTGCAATCTTTCGAGCTTCTGGCCCGATTCATTTCTGCGAAGAGACGATAAATTATTATCCGATCCTCGCGATATTACATAACGACGAGCGTCGGCCTTTCGCGCCTCCCTGCGAAAGGAGGAACGCGCGAAAATCTCCAACGGAACAAACTTGGCGTTCACGAATGTAATTAATTAAGATCGATATAATTAGCAGACGCATCGTGCGTGCGTGTATGTAGTCGCAAGAAATGTACGCAGTAATAATGCTTCTTCGTGACGACAAGAGTAGTCTTAAAACGATAGACTAATACACTCCATACCCTAGGCCTAAGGGCCTTCCCTTTGCCGAAGAGGTCTCCTCTTCGCGAGTGTTTTGGATGTTCATGGTGGTGCCGGATGTCCGTAAATAGCGTTTCCCGAATCGTCGAGGCGTGGCCCGTGCGAAAAAGCGATCTGAATCGACACAAAGTCTCGTCCGCACGGCGGTAGACCGGCAGCACCACGTTTTTCTCTTATCCGCGTAGCGTTTTTCTCTTATCCGCGCGTGACCGACGGGGTGGGCCGCCTGTTAGCGCTACGAGGACGCAATTAACTCGGACAACCGTGGTGGCAGAAGAAGCAAAATCCGGCGTGAAGCGCTTAACCGAAAAGCAGGGGACTACTACTTTACTGCTATCCGCGTGGAAAAAATTATTCCGACGCCTTTACACAACCATTAGATTTCGCTCCCTACATTTCGTTACGCGGAATTTCTTCCGAATGACGTTACACGCGGAAATCCAAGGCTTGAGATTAGCTAATTACATATTTCTCATATACGTATTGTACACATTCCTACGTATCACATTGGCATTTTTCCGCTCGAGCGCGCATTTTACGCAAAATAATTTTGTACTTTATTTTCTGTAAGATACTTATCAGCAGTAATCAAAGAATACACACAACTTGTACTATTTTTTTCCCTATAGCTCAATTTGTAATTTATTCGTGATTCGTGAATACTGTATATAAGTATATCTCGAAACAAATTGAATAATGATGAAGAATAATCGATAATAACGAAGAAAGGATGGATCTCTCTTGCCAATAATAATCAGGGCAAAATAACACGTTCGTGTGTTCGTGGAAAATCGCGAATTCAATGGAAAGGGCATGCTAAATAATGAAAACAGTCGCAAATCGTTCTTTCCGCTAGGATAATTTCGACTTACGTTGTATATGTTTTATCGACCGACACGATAAATCCAAACACGCATCTAAAGATACCACTCAAAATTGAACTACATTAATAACACATCGATACGAATCATTTAAATTAAATTCAATTAATTGGTTTTTCAAATAAAAAAAAGTTAAACATAAAATGGCTAAACATTAATAAATAACTGTATTTATAATTAAAACCTAATAAAATATGCAAAGTGCTACCAAAAAAAATTATTTATCGATTCTTAAAGTAATTCCAAATAAAAAGAGAAAGATAGAGAGAGAGAGAAGGAGGAAGAAGAAGAGAGGGGAAAAAATGGAAAAAGTTATACCACTCGATACGACGTAATATTTCTTTATGCGTATAAGCGCATGTTACATGTAAAGTACGGTTACCGATGCAACATTAGGAGGATAAGATAAGATTAGGCTGGTGCCTGTGCAACCAGAGTCTTAATATCGGGGTTTAAAGCTGACACAATTCTATGACGCTCTGGAATTATTTATTTATTTATTTATTTATTTAATATATGACTACTTTATTATAACGTGCAACGCTCACAGAGAAATTTTTCTGTTTAAAGTTTACATTACACATTGAATCACTTATGTATATGAAATGTAACCTTAGCGCAAAAGACGGACGTATTTACCATTTGCAGCTATGCAAATGCAATTGACGTCATTTTGAAGTTAAACGAAGCTTACATCAACTTCTAATTTGCGTTCGTATCATTAACATTTTACTTTAGAATTTGTCAAACGATCAGTCGTATGTAAATTAGAGACACAGGTGGACAAGAGATGATAAGAGTGTACATGTAATCTAAATACAACCCACAAAGTAAATTTCTACAAAACAACGCGTTTAATTTGTATGCACGTTTATTTCAGATGACTGTTACCGAATACAGTATTTGCAATTGACAGTGCTATTCAACAAATTACGCACAATTATCTAAAATATCACAGCAACTAGAAAATCCCTCGAAACACATTCGTACATTTTCTTTATCTCTTTTAAAGCACTCGACTTTTAAAGATCTCAACACAATAATTAATAAAAATATAAAATCTTTATCTTCAATAAGTTTTACAAATAAATAAATCATTAAACACATATAACGCTATATAACTTTATATTCATATATAAATAGGCTATATCCTTCTGTATATTATTGACATTATTGTATATACGAGATGTATGACGACATAGTCGGTTAAAAGTGACCATTGACACGGATTTTTAGCTCGCGGCTCGTCCCGTTCCATGGGGTTATACAATTTCAAAGACGGCGATGAAACCCTAGAGGGGTCTCGGCCCTCGAGAGGTTCAAGGGAGAGGAGAGAGAGAGCGGCGCGAACGTGGTAGCCGCCAAGGTGGAGGCGTTGTGTGCGCATGGTAGCGGGTCGCGTCTCGCGGCGTGGCGGACATAAAACGATTCGGAACGAATTTCGACAAATTGACGTGGCCGCCGCGAGCAACGTACTCTCCTGCGCGCCAACCTAACCGAACGAACCACCGACCACCACACTGAACGCGAACCGACGACCAGGCGAAAAAAAGTCCCGTCGACTTTACCCCTTTCGCCCGCCACCACCGCGGTATGATCTTACCTAGAAGTCTTTTCTTGTTTTTTTTCTTTTTCTTTTTCTTTTTTTTTGCTTTCTCCTTGTCCATATCTCTATCGCCTCTACTTGCTGCGGTTCCTCCTCGGACTCTATCCCCAGCACTACGGACCGTCCACCACCGGATAATCGATTTAACGCAACGTCGCGCGGTAATTGTTAATTTAGATTTTTCGCTCGCTCCCAGCTCCGTATTGAAAGCTCTTCTGTCTCCTTCTTATACTTCTAATGAGATCCAAAAATGGCAAAACGCGATTCACGAGATCGTTTTCGAGTAGATTAGGAAACGTTTAAAAATCTTTTATTCGCATGGAATAAAGTAATGTGATAATTTTTTTGATAGAATAAGATTTGTTTTGAATTGTCGACGTGTGCGATCTCACCAATCTCGCTTAGTGGCTTAGTATTTTCTCAGGCCTCGCGAAGCCAATCGGATGCCACCACAGTTTCCCCTTTTATATGACGCGGTCAGGAAAACCATTGAGTGCGTTACGAGCCGCGATTGAACGTGGCGGTACTTTAAGTGCACGTTTCTTGAAAACGCGGTCGCGCGCGGCGCAACAACAAAGTGCAACGTCGATGACAAACGACGGGCAGAAACGAGGTGTCAGAATGACGGGACCGCAAAAGGTAATGATATGATTGGACCGTTGTACGCCGTACGGGGGATGTTTGCGGTTTTGCGGTTTCCGCCCCCTCAAATCGACGCCTCTTCCCTCTTTTTCCTCCCCCCTCTCTGTCTCTTTCTCTATGCCTCCCCCGCTCTCTCTTTCTATGTCTCTTATTGTTGCGCACAAACATCGTCAATTTCACGCTTTGCCGCGGTTTACGATTTGCTAAACGACAGCGACGCGTTTTCGCGCGCATGGCTTAATTTTGTTAGCAGCGTTGTAATTTCGAGAGTGTCTTTCCATTTTGTCACAAATGCGAAAAGCCATCACGGATCCTGGACCACGATCAAAATACTAGTGTGCGTAATAAAATACTAGTGTGCGAATAGAATAAAACATGAATCCTCTCGAAACGATAAATCGAAAGAAAAAAAAGATAAAAATCAAAAGAAAGCCGAAAATGATAAAATGATACGTAATTATTCCAAATGCTTATAAAAAGCATTTTAACAAGAAATTACTAATTTCTACAAGATTCATTGTAGTAGGAAGCTCATTACGTAAATAAATTCGCGATGTTTATTAATAGAAGTCAAATAATGTTTTCATGCTAGAAAAAAATTTTCAGTAGTCTCCAGAATTAAATAAATTTCATGATATAAGAGACAAAATAAATAATCATTTCGAAATTTTATTTTAATTTTTAATTTGTAATTTATTATTGTTGAGGGGATTCTAAAATCCATACTTACGAAATAGTAGTCTACAGACTAGTAGTTTGCACGAAGAAATATGGACGGGAATTCTTAGAATTGGACGTAAACATTTAATTAAAACGTTATTGTTATACAAAAATTTATGTGTATATGTGCGTGAGATACTTGCGATGTAGTATATGTAGTGATATGTTTAGATATATCAGTGACACGTAAATCATCTGTGCCTAAGTCCTACTTACACTATGATTTATTGCCTTTAGAATCCCCTTAAATAAAGAAATATAAATAATAATTAATGTAAGATTTTTGCAGCTTCTAAAATCTTTACATTTAAATAAATAAATCATTGAGATTTTAAAAAATTTTAAGAAAATTACAAATAAATACGTCTGTACGTTTCTTTTAAATTATTATTCCCATAGAAGATGACAATTATTCGCATTCTTTCGTATAGGAGTCCAAAATTGTATCAATTAAATCGTCAATTGTAAAAATAATATCTATAGTTTTTATTATTTCACCAATCAATCGATAATTGAACGATAATGCTTCTCCATCCGTCAGACGATAAATTGTCGCTCGGATTTGCGTAAGACTCGCAAGACATCTAATCCGTAAACGACCCCTTGCATAAGCCGCCAAGATTCTAGTGATTGGTTAGTTTCATCTTCAAGTTATATCCGGTTCTTACGTAAAACTTCACTAGGATAATCTCGACGTCATGATAAAAAAGACTATTAGATACAAGATTCTTTCTTCATATTATTTCAAACATTTATGAGACAAAGCCACATTAAATGTATTACTGTACAATATTTTTTAATTGCCAAATTAAGAGATTTGTACTATGTAAGTATATTATTTAAATATTATTATGGAAAATTTAGTGAAAAGCGTAATATAAAAATCGTATGTTATTTGTGGATATGTGAAAAAAATTAATAAAATATAAACCTCTATATTCTTATTTTATTGCAAACGTCAATACGTTAGTAAGATTCATCTTTATACATTTATGCAACTTGTTTTAAAAATCATCCTGTACGATAAAAAAAAATGCATTAAGATGTCCCTGACTTTTTTCTCTTTACTGTGCCTCATTACATTCGAGCATGAGCAGCATCAATCTCCTCGCACGTGGAAAGCCCCGCGCACTTTAATAGACGAATTAATCGACTCGGATGAAACATGAGACAAAAATGGCTACGGACTCTGCAATTGAACGACTCAATCCGATCTTGCCAAAAGCGTATTCTATATAAATCGGAATACATTGTACCCATAGACGCGAATATTTTTAACATACAATTTTTCTTCCATACGCAGCACGATCGGAAAGAAACATACGTGCCACAAATATTCCCAAACGAAATAGAAAAATGTACGTTTCAAAAGATTCAAATTTCGTAAATAATTGAAAATTATTTAAAATACTTTTACTTATTTTTTGTCAATTTTTCAAATAAAGAAAGTTAATTGAAAATTTATTCCAAATTTATCTTCGACGCCTTTCAATTAATCTTCCAAATAACCGAGACATAAGATATCGCTATATGATAGAGAGAAGCAGGGGTCTTCTCAACACAACACAACACAACGCAACGGCGAGGCACGGCGAGGCACGGCAGGGCAGAGCAGGGCGTGCGTACACGCACCGAAAGCGCTTGTTCTAGCACGCCGGAGCGGCGCTGTTCCGAGAAAGTTGTGGAATCTCCCGTTCGGGTCGGACCGGGGCACACGACGAATGGACAAATTACAGGGTGCACGGAATAATGAGGCTCCCGTTCTAGGACGTACATCAGAAATCGGGGCATCTCGCGGCTATAAATCACGCGGAACACGGCCGCCGAGCCGCTCCGTAAAACGGCCAATTGACGTGTTTCAGCTTGTACGAACGATGCGCGTGGCACGAGCTGCTATACGGCTACAGCTATAATGATGTAGAGGAAAACAAATACAGGTATCTTAAACAAAATATAAAAATGGGAAATAAGAATAAAGAGAAATACTACCTACGTATCACGATATGCGATAATGGATTTTTTTTTTGCATACATTCTCTATACTTTCTCTATACTGTGTACTGTACACTTTATATGTGTAATTTTGCGGTAATTTCTTATTAAATTTACATATATATTGCTACCAAGCTCAGGCGAGAAATTTGCGTATAAAAACAGTATAACGTATTGTCGCCACAGAGGAACGGAAAGTATCGTTAAGCCGGGGACAACTCGTTGAAACGTGGTTATCTCTCGAGTTAACCATATGGTAATGATATTCTGTCCGACTTTGCGATGTATCACAAAAACGATATCGCGCGTGATATACGGAAAACTGAATACGCTACTTCGAAATGTAACGTCAATATTATGCGTGATTGAGAATCCTAATGACAGTCTGAAACTATCGATACATTGTCTTTTGATATTTTTAGTAATTTAGCAGCCAGACTTTCTGCTCGATACACGGATATTTTCTTATTCACAATATAATTTCAGTATAGACTATGTATGTAAAGTATCATGAAAAATTCAATAGCATTCTCGTATTTTCTTAGTAACATAAATTATTGATGTCATTAATTCTCGAAAATGATAGACATTTTAAATTGCTTTTCAACTCATATTTATATTTATTCCGTTATAATACAATATTTTACTCAATGCAAACATCTACTGTTTAATAATAATCTAAATGCGAAAATATTTCTTTCTAAAAAAATAACAACTATAATATCGAAACGTTCTGTAATAACTTTACAGATATACCGATATGCTTATTCTCGATATAGCAACTCTATTACCAACCGGAAAGAGAAAGAAGAAGGCCACCTTCCTTTCGAAAGCGCGGGAAGAAATCATGGCGATCTAGCCTCAACGACTTGTCTGTTACGGGCAGTTGTTGAGGCAGGTCGAATAGACCGATTCAGAAAATCAAATGGCCACGACGAATTTATGTGCATTTCAAGTTTATCCGGCGATTGCTCTCGCACCTGTTTCTCCGGTTTCTCGCTAAAACATCCCGCTTTAGAAAATGGAACATTTATCGATACGTACTTTTATGCAAATTTGACAAGTAACGATAGAGACAGATTATAACATAACACATAATCATCAGCGATTACCACAATTATTAGGTGTTGTCGTGCACTTGTATTCAAACCTACATAAAGTTATTGTATCGTAATTGAAGGATCGTCGTAATGTTAGCTAAAATGTGCATAATATCGCGATAGCTGTATTTAGAAGTGCTACACGACTGCGTTCGTCGCGTGGTTATCACCACGCAATAATACTCGTTTTACTGATCGGCACCGCATTGCGCGACACTTTCGACACGTCTCCGTATCCGAGATATCCGATAAAATATATATATATACATATATTATATATGAGAAAAATGTAGAAAATCTCACTCACCCGTATATGGCGTCCTTATCACGTTTGTGGACATCGGGCACCGCGGAGGCTGCGGCCGCAGCTGCCGCCGCGAGAACATGTTGTGGAGGCTGAGGAGGAGGCGGTGGATATTGAGGGTGGGCTGGACCCATCCCTCCCAAGTGTGGGCTATGATGGAGACCGGGAACACCGCGGGCAGTACCATGTGGATCGTATAGCCCTGCGCCTCCACCGCCGCCACCGCCCTCGAGGTAACCCCCGTGCAGCCCGCCATCATCGTACTGCAACCACAAAAATAAAAAATTATAAAAATTATGAAAATTTTACAAACTTTAACCAAGTATAATGTACTTATTTATATATTCGTATATTTATCAATTTGCTTTTTCTTATTCAATATTGCCTATCAATAATCGTACATATATAGGTATGTTCTCTCGATTTAGATATACTTGAAATAAGATTGTTACAGCTTCAAACTTAAAAATATTGCTTGCAATTATCTGTTAATATCGTAATCTTCGGGTTTCTTTCCTATTTAAATATAGGTACTGTCTATTCTGGCGTTGGCTCGTAAATTTAGAATCACGCGTTTATAACGATTGACGCAAGGACTCGGAGTGCACACGTGGATAGAGAACGTTCAAAAGGTGACACGGGAAACTACTACTAGAATGTCACGTATTTTTTTAAGCTTTTTTTTTAAGCTTGTAACAATCGTAGCTTCACGACTTCAAGTTCGTAAAACAAGCGTCAAGCCGGCGCTTCTAAGAAACAGTAAACTACCATGCGTTTTATAGTTATAGTATCTATGTAATTGCAATGCAATTAAATTTAGGAAATAAAAAGTTTTATGTACACATCATCGATATACACTGAGCGGTTAAAATTCAACTTATCGTTAGTTAAAAGTAATAGAATATATGACGTGAAACAATAATTCAATTAAACCTATTTAAAAATTTGAAATTTCAATAATTCTTAGAAAGCGAGTAATTAATTTTAATTCTTGCTTTTAACTAAAAACTTCATTAATTTACCAGATATTTCAAAATGTAATCTATCCTACTCATGAGATAATGGAAGGTTACCTTATTGTATAATGACGAAAGAGAAAATGCTTTTAATTTGATATTTCGAAAGACACAAACACTTATTGGAATTTTTTCGTGGGATCACGATTGCCAACTTTTTCGTCGTTACATTATCACTGTGAAAGAAAAAGATAAGATTTAATCATCGTTGAAGAAATAATTAATTACGTACCACCGTACGACCGGTAATAAATAACCGCGTATTTCAATTACGCTTAACCGCACCGACCTTCTAGAATACCGCAAAAAAGGGCAAGGCCTGATGATTTCTAGCAATAAAGTTTTCGCGCAAAGCTGATGGATGACAAACAAAAGTGCACTAATTGTCAGATAAATTCGAACGTGTATCATCGGTAGAACAGAGAAAGAGAGAGAGAGAGAGAGAGAGAGAGAGAGAGAGGAGGGTGGAGGAGAACTTGATAGGTGGAAACCTGGAGACTCACTTCAATCGATCGCGATCGCGATCGCGATCGGTTAGTCGGTCAGCCGATTGAGAACGGAAGCAATGATTTTCCCGGCGTCCTCCAAGCTCGCGGCTTGTCACGTCAGTCTGCACGGGAACGAAAGCAAGCCGATTATTATCGTTAATTACTTAATTCTAGCGTTGGGCTCAGAATGCCGCGTAATTTCGTCGCGAAAACAAGAACCGGCGAGAATTTGCGATTATCAGTCGCAGCAAGTGGGAACATGTGATTCGATACAATCCGGAAGAATGCAATTGCGCCCGTTACTGAGAAGCAATCCTGTAAAAATCGGAAACGATCTGCAATCCGCGTTCTGCTTAATTTAATTCACCTTTGGCGCAATTCGCTCCTGAGAACGATGAGAAAGGTATACTATCAACATCTGTTTAAGTAGAAGGAAAAATATATCGACGTAATCTGACAAAAAAAAAGCGATTGTAATTGTTACCAATTTCTCTCCGCCTTTCACCTAATTTGATTTATCTCGCGCTGAATACTGAATTCAAGATTGCGATGAAATTGCGAAAATTACGCGGTGCGAATCGAATCGCTTGCTATTACACTTGAATTAATCCGATACGCACGTTAAAGTTGCTCGAACGATCCATTTCGCAGCAGAATGCGAGTATGGTGCGAGTTGGTTAAAATTCGCCCTTTATTCCAGCTGCGCACAATACGTCCTCGTTTTCGTATCGCGAAAGTGCGGTGATAAGGCGTCGCAAAGAACCGAACAAAGTACTGAATTAATATGTCCGATATCTCACTGGCGGTTCTCATATTTGCTATGCAACTTTCTGCGGGCTGCTTTTCAACTTAATAAAGCTGAAACCTTCATTTCTAATATATGTATATTAAATTAAAGATATTTCAGTGTATTGCAAATATTTTGACAAAAAAAAAATATTAAACATATCTGCCTTTTCCAACTAAGTTGTAATGGTAAGCTATAAATGTTATTTGAGACAGTTATATTTTGTAGAAATAATTTTGTGCAATATTAACACATGATCAATTATTTTTTCAGGTATGACGAATATTTCTACTTTGCGGTCTCTCTCTCTCTCTCTCTCTCTCTCTCTCTCTCTCTCTCTCTCTATTCATACAGATAAAATGTGCACTTATCCGAGAAAAACGACATAAAAGCGATTCTTGTCTGGTAGCGCGCGAACATGTCGCGCCTAGAATGCGAAATTCTCTGAACTGGAGGACTGAAAAAGGCTATGGACAATAATTCACCGTCATGGCAGTATGAAGATATCACTCGACGGGCGAGCGGAATATCTTAAAGGGTAGCTTAAAGGGTAGGAAGAAGAAGCGGGGTAAAAGGTTGTGTCTCAAGACGCTATCATGGACGACTTGCGACGAACGTCTACCGACGACGAAGCTCGTCGTTATGCTCGTCGTCGTCGTTGTCGTCATCCTCGTCAACGTCGAGAAGATTCGCGACAAAGCCGCCGGTTCGAGAGAACGAGCTCGTGCGCGTCATATACAATACAATCGCTATTTGCAGACGGCGTTAATTTGTGACCGAAACGAAGAAGTTACAGCGCGACGTCGCGACGATGTCGAGCTGTCACCTAGATGTACGAGCAATGGACCGCCTTGACATGGAAGATATTTCCGGAAATGGTGTGAGAAAGGGACAAACGGATTTTTACTTTTTTTTATAGTGAAATATCCGGTTAGTCTCTCTTTCTCTCATTAAGCGAATTTAGTTGAGTTAATTCCTTCGAGCATTATCAATATTATATACTGCTGTGAAATAAAGTATCTAACAAATGTTGCATGTATTATATATATATATATAAAAATTCATACGACTGCTTAAGTGCTGAATTATGTTCGCGCTCGTTGCGTCTCGAGGAAAAATTGAATAATGCATCTTAGGGTTAATATACGAATTTGTCCTGTCATGGGGATTAATGCAAGACGCGAGAATTCCGACGTACGTATGGAAATGACGTTTTTGCGTAAACAGCGCGCGGAGCCGCTTCGGTTTCGCGCAGTTGTAACCGGCTCGGCAGGCCGAAGAACCGAGGGAAATTTAGCAAAGCCTGACAAACGACCGCCATTTATAAGTAGATAGGTCAAGGCGAGCGCTTAAGCATCTCGGTATAAATTGCGAAAAAAAAAACGCAGAGGGAGGAGGCGGCAGAGACGGGGGGGGGGAGGAGAGAGGGGGCGGTAAAAAAGACAAGACGTGGCGTATTCGACTGCTCCGCAATACTCGTGTGTGTTGTGCGCGATTATTTCTGGGTGAAAATATAAATTGGCAGAATACATCGCGAACCGGCGGATCACTGAGAGAATTCAGAAAATTGCCGAGTGATGAAGATGCCGCCGTCGGCGAATTTTGCGAGCCGACGAAATAAACACCAATAATCCGACAGCATTGGTCCTTTGTTTCCTCTCTTTCTCTTTTCCACTTCTCTCGTGATCTTCTCTTGTAACATTTTTCTTCGATCTTCGTTGTACTACACAGCTGGAGTTGACATCATTTCACAAAAATCAATAATGTATCGTACGAAAAAAGTATCAGAGACGTAAAAAAATAATATATAAAAAATATCCCACTCGGCTATTAATTTCTCGTGCGAGCAATGCAATGCAAAAAAAAATCTTCCACTATGCGAAAGATTTTTGAGGGGAAATAAAATTCACCTTTGGTATCTCCAGGATTATCACTTTCGACGTGTAACTTTACCAAATAAATTTGCACATAATGCTATTTTTATTGAGAGAGTGTTATTTTCACATTTAATTTATGTACTCTTTTAATCCGTTGACAAGAAAACAGAGTCGTTGGTATCATCAAGATTTCGTAGAGAAAAAGGCGAGACTCTCGATGCCGTTTGACGGCGGAGCAAACTCACTTCGAAATCGGCAAGTATGTTCGCGAGCTCTTCACGTCAGCCATAATGTTTTATTTCGAAACAAACTTTTGCGTCGAAATTTTCATTTGACATTTAGTGTCGGCATAAAAATAAAACTCGTTCACCAAGGGGGAGGACCGCCTGGCGTCAAATATAATCGAGATAGATTGATTATTATTTAACGCGCCAAATGACAATTTACAATTTATAATAAAAAATTTTGGCCGATAAGCATCGATCGTCGCTAAACTGAACTATTTAAAGATGCTTTTGCTGTATTATATCGTATAGAATATCGTATAGAAAGAGAAAGGGAAAAGTGTCGCCAGTATTTAAAATGAAAATAAGAAAAAATAAAGAAACGAACTCTTGTATGTATATCTATATCTACTTTTTTATAATCAATATTAATGTAATTTCAAAAACATTGCGATATCATACTTTTATTTATACGTATAAAGGACATTATTCCCATTTCAGTCCAAGTTCTTTCTATTCCGAATTTGATTTCGTTTCATTTCACTTAACGTTTCCACTTCGCATTAAAAATTTTCTTTTCTCTACTACTTTTCTCGCATACGATTACGCGATACATGAAGTATAATTATTACACACGACGGTAATTAGTTACCTTAGAAATTCAATTATCTCAAGCACATGGTATAAAATCAGATAGAATTCTCGTAAGCTCGCGCCTTGCTATCTTTCATATCGCTTCTTTCTTCCTTCTCTCTTTTCTCATTATGTTAGAATAGAAAATCCAACGATATAAATCGCGGTAGTGCAAAACGTGCAGTTAACTCTTACATGGTCACGCTATTACCGTAATTCTAGTAAGACAAAACGTTTCTTCGTAATGACAATTATATTGTCTACTTTGTAATATAAATATAGAGAGTTCTTTTTCAGTTTTTAAAAAATATATTGGCGCTTAAACAAACTTTACGCACACTTTTTCCTATTGCAAGTTGATAAATTCAAACGTCAGCAGCATCTTTTAAATTTTGTGAGAATATTACAATATATGGTATATTCCGAAAGTATAAGGCATGGCACAACGCGAGAGACATAATTCCTGAGACACTGGTAAAACTACTTGAGAAACGTTTGACAGGTTTATGGTTGCATTCGAATGGTCGCACTCCGTCCTTACGGAGTACAGACATATTTTTGGTAAACGGAATTAGGCTCGTGTCGCCTAGCCGAGCGGCGCCCACCGTATAGCTCTAAATCGCGGGAATCGAGCCGAGTTAGGCCCATTTATCTCGCGCATGAATATGCCTAACGACTGTCCAGACGAAAAAAGGAAAAAAACGGTAGCGACGCAGCGCGCACGGCCAATAGGGAACGGCGAGAAATCGATACGACTTTAATCCGTAGGCTAAAGGCCGATATCCGCAATCGGGAGAGCGAAAGTGATTGATGGATGCCCATAAATACATAATCATCGGCTCATTCGGCGGCGGTACAGCGCCGACGGACGACGAAAAATCGGATCCTCGTCGTCGAAGAGCCCCGTCCGCCATTCTCGCGGTTGGAATTTTTAATCCTAAACGCGCCGCGCTATCCATCGCGTTATACCTACGGATACGGATTTCCTCACCCGAAACGTACACGCCACTCATGCGAAACGCACTCATTGCAAACGCACGCCTTTCATCCAGCTCCTAGATGCTACAGACTTTTCATTGCTCACTGACTGCAACGGGAACGAGATTTGGAAGGATTAAAGAAAACAAATGCGAAATAATATAGAGACACATAGAATAAAAATAAATAGCAGATTAAAAAAAAAACCAAGTAGAAATGGAGACGGTCTATTGAGGTTTATTCCTAACGAACAGAAAAGTTAAAGTTTGCAAATGATCACATTTCTCATTAAAATAAAAATATCGATAGACCTTTAAGACATATATAAAAAGAAATAAAATTAAAAGTTGATAAAATTACTATCCAAGTAATAGCAAATAAATTTAATATTTGTATGCATCTGCGACCATTTGAATTTACGATACCTGTCATCGTGGTAAACAGATAAAAATTTGCAGATACTCGCTGTTGTTCCTTCGGCAGTCGCGCGCATTTAGCAAAGTACTTATCGTATTTCGTAAATGTTTTGCAACCTGCGACGGAGCGTTAAGTCATTGCAAAAATTCACCTGTCAAGGACCGAGCTTTGCTGTAGACGTCGCTTTCTCCGATCTAAAGAATTCTCCGTGTTGCACGCAAAAGAGTTCGCGATCCATCGAAACACGCACGCACGTTTCGGCAATTTTGCAAGCGCAACCAGGACTGAACGACGGGACGAAGCGGAATTGAGCGGTAAAAAGCGCGTGTTGAATCGTTCTGCACGATCCGACTGCGATTAAGACACCGACGGTACCAGATGCAAACATATTATTTGCCTGAAATTGTCAATATTCATTATATCTGGTTTACTGAGAGAACTATTTTTGCAGCGAAACACACGCAATTAACACCTTGTGGATATATCACCAATATTTAGTCTTCTTGGCAAAGAAGACATGAAAATTGACGTAATAAAGAAACATTTCTTTCGCGTATTTATAGCGAAAAACGTAATCTAATGTAAAAAATGGAGAAAACTAAAATTATACGATTTTATTTCTTGTTTATATATTAGCAAGAAGAATGAGTCAGCTGTATGGAAGCAAAAGAATTTGTCGTTATCTCATTAAAAGTTGGGCAACAAAAGAGATTGGAGTCGAAAAAAAGTTGCATACGAATCATATCACAATACCGCACGCGTAAAGCATGTAAACATGCGAGTTATCGGCGTGCGAGAATATCGCTGCTTTTGCATGGATTCAGTTATCGGAATCAATACGGTCTGTTTAGCACTACACCCTGAATGATCGAAAAGTGTCAATGCAATCGAATTTCATCCGCAATTCCTTCACTTCGAATCTCGGAACGAGTTTACATCAAATATTCTGAGTTTACACAAAACGAGAAATATGCCGCGTATCTAGCATCGGCAAAAACAACTCAGATACACAATTCAAAATGTAGATATCACATTTTTTTTTTAAACAATTGTACATTTCAAACATTTATGTCCACAATGTCAATTTGTAAAAATTTTTTTTAAGAGACACGAATATTAATATTGCGGTTAATGAAAACTGCATGGATATACTTTGATCTACAGCAGTCTACTTTGAAAATATAATTTGCTACTTGCTCGGTATAATACGAAAGATAAAAAAATTCTTCGAATCTCATGATACACCTATATCTATATATATCAGAAGCAAAAAATAAAACTTTCTTCGCGTATTATTATTTCAGTGTTATAATAAGCGGATAATTTATCGGTATAATTTACGTAACTATACAAGATATTTATTAAGTACATACCAAACTGAAAAAACACATTGAGAAAGAAACTTGTTACATCCGACGGCCAGAAACGTATTTTGTAATCATGAAGAATATAGCGATCAACACGCAAGTCAATACGTAAATAAAATATTTCTATACAACAAATCTTAAAAAGTTACTTGTAATAGTTTATGTATTCAGAGAATAGGCATTTATATTGTTTTACATTAGACATACATTAAATAATAATAAATAAGTCTCGCATTAGATTTGAACACGTAGGTATAAATTTTTGACAGATTTGTTGGAAGCGAATGTAAAAGGCTATTGTCCCGCAATTCGTTACATTTGACCGCTGGATTGAACAAGAAAGCGAGTCAGTGAAGCGAGAGCTGATTAATTCTTCGAAAAGGGATCTAAATTTTACGGTCTCTGTGATGCGGTAAATTTTAATTCAAAATTTAGATAAATGTGACATTATCAACGTTAAAGTATTAGATATAATCATATAAAACGAAAAGTAATATAGAACTTTGATATAAAATTAAAGTAGATTTTAATAAGTAGAAAGAAGAATATTTGAAAAACCGAAAATTTCATAAAACGAAAATGAATAATTTGCATTATTATTATTATATTATATCATATGAACGCTATATATTAGAGTTACTACAGATTTATTGAAACATGATTCATTAAGTTCGCGTCACTCCGGGCGTTTAAATTGTAAAAAGAAGATTTCAATGATACTTAATTGAATTATCATAGACAATAATCTATTGCCGGAATAATGTTGCAATTATTTATCGCGTTAGTGCAGAATAATGAAGAAATAATACGCCTAACTTTTGACACGTTAGAAATGTTTACGAGACACAGTGAATGGAAACGCGTTTCGGAGCGTAGCGATGCCTTTCATCATTGAAAACAACAACGGAATGTCAACTTGCCGTTTGTTTTAATTAAGCGTTCGTAACGTCATATGCATTTGCCATCATGCAATCTGTGAGTGAATGAAAATTATGAAGCTCTGCGCTTATCTTCTGAAATCTAACGAAACGCTTTCCGTTCGAAACAGGCGTTAATAAATTTGTGCGTGAAACGCGCGATTAAAGATTATTCGGAAACAACATGGGATATCGAAGTGAATATTCAGTCTATGATTACGTGAGCGTGCCTGAAATCAGTCAGAAATCAGAAGATTTTTCGCGGCGCGTCGCGGCGGAGTTCCGAAACGGTCTCGTAACGGGCGTAAATATTCAATAGACGATTCCCTATTCAGATCCTCTTGGATGCCACATAACTGTTTAGGAGTGTGGAAGTCGGTGATGAACCGACGAGCGTGAGGCATCGTCGTCGCGACTCACAATCGAGGCCGGAGGAAATTTACTCCCCGTATTGTGCTATGATTATCGGACGTAATTACGCCTCGGTCAAAGTCGTTCGATTACGATGTGTGTAATCGACACGTAAACACGAAACGAGCCTGCAAGCCTCTCTCTCTGTCTCTTCTTTCTCTCTCGTTCTCCCGCATCCTTCGCGAATCGGCGATACCGATGACACGGGTGCGCGCGAATCGCTCGAATTTCGCACTCGCGAGTAAGAAGCTCGCTCTCGGCAAGCCCGAAAGCAACCCCTTTGTGCGACTGTCGTTTCTCTTTCTTCGGCCGCCGCAATGCGTTGCAAGCGACGTTACAATGTTACAAAGCACCGAGGTGGCCAACATATAAATTCCCTTTCGACACAGCGACGAAACTCAATTGAAATCCTCCATCAGGCAGCCGCGGACTCGCGTGCATCCAAATCTAAGAACCAAGTCTACGGAACCTGCCGACTCTGTTTCGAGGCGCGATAGAAGCGCGAAAGAAAAAGAGGAACCCTGTGTTTTACAAACTCACGCGCCGCGATGAATTCTTAGAATCCTCTCGGAAATGAAATCGCGTCATGGATAAAAACGTGGCAGCGAGAGAGCTCCACGAAAATTAGATGTTGTGTCTGCGAATGGCGCGATCGCGTTCAGAAATGATGGAGAATCAATCACTTTCCCGTAATGAGAAACTTTTTCCTCGTATCATCCTCATTTTTAAACATGAGATTTAAAAAAGATATAACTTTTCCCCCAACGCGGCATTTCGATTCTCGTGAAATTTTCATTTGGACATTTTTGGAGCACTCGGTAAAAATACTCGCGAATAACACACGTTACATCGTTCTAAGAAAGAGGGATGTATTTTTGAAAAGCGGAATCGAAGCTCGAATCGATTAAACGCGTTCATTCTCTATTTCATTTCTAGCGAGAAAAAGATGTATCAGATGTGAAAGATGAGTGAAAACATACCCTTGGCTGCGCCATGAACGCCCTGGCCGCGCCGGGGAACTCTGCGTGCTGAGCCACCGTAGCGGCTGTATTTTCCCACAATGTAAGTAAGCGAGCCTCGACACTTCACTACACTTTCTCGGCACTGTTATAAGCGGCGCGCTAAGCTTAAATGCTCGGACGCGCTGCGTGACGCTGGGTTTTCACGGTAACGATAAGGTCGTTCCGACGAAAAAGGACAAGGCTCGAAATTCCAACGCGGCGACCGACGGCACCTCTCTTGTGCCTCTTCTTTTTGAATCGGCCTCGGCCTCGGCCTCGGCTGTCGAACTTTGTCGCCACTCGGTTTGCTCTGATTCCGCTTTGCTGAAATTCTTCCTTCTCTCTCTCTCTCTCCTTCTCTCCGTGTCTCTCTCTCCGCAGATTCTTTCTCACTGGCCGCTTTTCCTTTCTTGTGTCGTCTCGTCCTCAGTATTTTGGAAAGACCCACATATACACAGAAACACACACACACAGAAGGAAGGACGGCGTCGGTCGGAACGAAACGAACTGCAGCCGACGGTGAAATTCAAACTGTCGCGGACGAGCGTCAGCACAGTTCGGCGGTGAGTATCGTTTGCGGTATGATTTTTCCGACGGCTATGACAACGGCTCGGGCCGGGTACACGTGCTTCCTCATCATCGTTGCGGTTATCACACCACCTCGGACGTCCACACACACACAAACACACACGCGTAGGTGTCGGAGCTTCTCTCGTCAATCCCGCATATTGTTAGGAAGGATGAGCGTTCGGTTGCTTGCGCGGACACGTGGCTTGACCTTCGCGCGATATCAACAAGACAAGAGCGAATAATGTTGGAGAAAACACAAGCACCTAGAACGCGTTCGCGCGCGAGGTGATCGCGAAGTGATCGCGAACGTGCCGCATCGAGACGCGATATTCGTGCTCTGCAAAAGTTAACTTTTGTTCCGTTTCACTTTCCTGCTCCCTTCACATCCGCGACGCACAACGACGACGTCCCGCTTCTATTCACTGTTTCCCACACAATCGATCATCACCGATGATGATGATGTCACTGACAGAGACAGGAACTGACAGGAACACGTTACATTCTCCAGTTCACGACACCAAGTGAGAGCCACAATGACGCCCGACGACGAAGATGAGGACGACGACGACGGGCGCCACGACGCGAGCACTATGCACCAACGTGTATGCTCGCACCTCGCGGGTGTTTCGTTGCGCGTTTACGGGAGCGATCAGCGATCAACGATCAGCGAGCGAAGACGCGACGCGAAACGCGTGACGCACACGGTGTGACGGCGGCGTTGCCACGACACGGCGCGTTGTCTCGTGCTCAACTGCTCACTGCTCCGGTCGCGGCTCCGGTGGCGACTCCTTACTCCGCGGTTGCCGCCTTTACACCTTTACACGTTGCGCGCCTTTACGGATTCTAAATCTAATCTAACAACACCGGCCGCACCGATATTCCTTTCGGAATAATCGCGCAGGCACGCACGCACGCACGCACGCACGCACGTACGCAGGCACGCACGCACGCACGACGTTATAGAACACGAGACGGACGCGAGATGGACGCGACGTGACGCGACGCG